TCCTTGCACATGTGTGGAGTGCAGTTCTTTCTCTTTCCATTCTTTCTCAACAACCAATAACAGCTCATTTTAAAAATGATTGAACACAATTGAACTCAGAAATCCTCTTTTTAATAGGCAAAATATCCCTGATATGTGCTTGCTGTTCTCTATCAACATTTTCTTAAAAGCTTGTTGGCAGATTCAATTGAACAATGACCTATTGGATTATCTCCCTGACTCTTCCCCGGACTACAATCTCTTAGATGTCAGAGATTGTATCTGATTTGCTCATAAGTTTGACATTGGAATCTAACAGTGCCAGGCAAATATAAGCATTTAGTAGATATTTGTTGTATTCTTGTAGAGAGTATTATGAAACCCATCCGGAATAGCACAAGACTTCCCTAAAGTTAGGCTTATATACCTAATGTTTTAAAGTTTAAATTTTAGTAATTAGGTTTCATGGTTGAGAGCTCCCTTATTTCATACTTATTACTCATTTCCTTGTTATTTTTTCTGCCTAATAAATCAAGGATATCATATGACACATTGGTGAGTGCTATTCAACTTGGTGCATTATTAATTTTTAAATCTTAAGCCCTCGATATGAGTCTCAGCTTGATCACTTACAACTTCTGTGGCCTCGCATGAGTCAATGAGCCTAGGTTTTCTGATATTTTTCTTTTACTTTAGTACTTTTACTTTTATCTTTTTAAAGATAAATAAGGCAATAATTATGGAAATTTGTTATAAATTATAAAAATGAATTCAATTTCTAAATATTGTTTTTTCACTTGATCAGTCATTGTGTCTTAAAATATTATTTATCCAACTGTACAAATAGACAAATCAACTGGTAATTGCAAGACTATGTCACTGTGCACTTTCCAGAAAGAGATACTGTGTTTCGTAGGAGTCCAGAGAAGGAACATTCTCTGAGGGTTCAGGGAGAGTCCTAGAGAACATAAATCTATATGGAGTCCCACAAAGACATAGCTAAGTGAAAAAGAGTCATCCCACAAAGGGCCAGAAGCAGTGTATAAGTGCTTTAGACATGAGAAAGAACACTGAGCAAAATTTACGAATAGATAATGGTGTTTGGGTCAAAGCAGGGGAAGTCTGGGAACTGTCTGGTGCTGTTATACGTATGATTGAGGGAATAAAAATATGTCAGTCAAGGAACCTTTGGAGTAGGAAAGATAAAATGTGCACAAGAAAACCAATCAAGGAATAACAAAAGCAAACTGTGAACTCTATTGTGAAAGTTTAGTATCAGTTTGTTTCCCACTCAATGACAGAGATTCTCTCCTAGAACAAGTTTTAGTCAGGATCCTTTGATCCCTCTTCTCAGCCGAGCCTCACAACACATATGGTAAATACATAGTTTGCTGAGCCACCCATAAGAAAATGCCAAGACTGGGAAATTTAAACAGTAGAAATTCATGGTCTCACGGTTCTGGAGGCTGGTGTTTCAAGGTCAAGGTGTTTACAGGCTTACTTTCCTCTGAAGCCTCTCTCCTTGGCTTGCAATGGCAGCCTTCTCTGTGTATTCATATGGTCTTTCCTCTGTGTGCATGTATTAGTCACATCCTACACCCACAGTTTAAATCAAGAGATGTTCATTTTGGTTTACAGTTTTCTTGGGCTCAGTCCATGATTACCAGGCACCAGCACAAAAACAGCTTGGTGGAAGGCGGTCTGGTGGGGGAAAGTTGCTCACATCATGGCAGCTAGGAAGCAAAGAAAGAAGGGAGGAGCCACTAACTGAATACACCCTTCCATGTCAAGAACCCAGTGACTCACTTTTTCCAACCAGACCCCATCTCTGAACAGCAGAGTTAACTATGAACTCAACACATGGATTAATCCACTGATGAGTATAGCACCTCTATGATCCAATCTCCTTCCAGGACCTCCACCTTTGACCAGAGACTCTTGGGGACATTGTAGAACTAGACCATAACAATGAACATCCCCAGTGTCTTTGAACATTTCCTTTTATGCCCAAATTTCCTTTTATAAGGGCATCAGTCAGTTTGGATTAAGACCCACCCTAACGAAAAAGGAACACTTCTCCACTGTTGGTGGGAGTACAGACTGGTGCAACCCCTGTGAAAATCAGTGTGGAGATTCCTCAGAAAACTAGGATTAGAGGTCCCATTTGACCCAGCTACTCCAATTCTGGGTATGTTCCCAAAAGAATTAAAAGCATCATACCAGAGCTACATAGGTACACCCATGTTTATAGCAGCACAGTTTGTAACAACTAAATCTTGGACACAGCCCAAATGCCCATCAATTGATGAATAGATAAAGAAGATGTGGGGTTTTTTATGTGACAGAATACTACTCAGCCATAAAAAAAAAAATAAACTTGAGACATTTAAAGCAAAACAAATGCACCTTGAGGCCATACACTTATGTGAAACAAATAGGACACACATGTGTAAATACCAAATTGTTTCTCTGGTGTAAGAAACTGAAAGTGTAAATGAGGACCAAAATGTATAATAGGTAATGTGAAATAGGAAGAAAAGGGGCAAAGGTTGAAGGGGAACTAAGGAGGGGGCGCAGGGGAAGGAAAGAGGGGAAAAAATTTAAAAAGAAGGAAAAAAAAGAAACAAAGCTTATATAAATAGGTAAGAGAGTAGGCATTGAAAGGAGGGAAGGGAAATGGGAAAAAATAAGAACCAAGATATATCACGTATGGGTACAAATTCCCATTTATGAATGTGATCATAATGTATACCTAAAATGTACCAATAAATTTATTAATGAATAATAAAAAAGACCCAACCTAACAGCCTCATTTTAAATTACCACTTTAAAAATATTGTCTCCAAACACAGTCACATTCTGAGTTAGAGGGGGTTAGGACTTCAAACTATTAATTTTTAGGAGACACAATTCAGCTCAAAATTGTGAGTGCCTGAGATGTTAGTTAAAAAATTAGGTAATGTGTTTACTATAGTGTTTAAAAGCTTAAACTTTGGAGTTTAACTTCCTTTCTTGCATTGATTGTTTTCATTTACAAAGATCACTACATACAAGCTATCTAGTCTTGAGGGGATTATAAAATCTCACGAAATTCTTTACATTTAGGAAAAAATGAGATAATATTTACCCCTTTATTTATTATTGTATACATCACTAAGTACATAATAAATGCTAACTAATTTTACATCTCTTTGCCAATTCTTTTATGAAATTGGAGACAACATCACCTTGTTTTGTTTGATTCTTTTTTGACAGTCTTCTTACATAGCCAATGCTGGCCTCAAAACTTAAAATCCTTCTGTTTCAGCCTCCTGTGTGCAAGAATTATAGGTATGTATCACCTAATAAGAAATTATCTTTTTGAGATATTGTTTAGAAATAAGTTTATAAACAACAGTTTTGCTCTTGATTACTATGTTATACATATGTTATACATATAAAACATGCAAAAATTTTGCAAAAATTCAGTATATTCTTTATTCCTTCAGAACAATTTGTGGATATTTTTTGAAGGGCTATCACATTCCACAAACCTCTGTTTTTTGATTTTCAAGAGCATCCTAGGAGACTTAAGAATGCACTAAATTTTTTGGAGATGGACAGCATGGGGCTATGGAACAAGGGTTCAATTAACATTGACTGTAGGGAAAGGTAAGGACTCTAAGAATCAAACACTATAACTTCATATCTAATTAGTTCAGTTAAAAATTTGACATTGAAATAATTCTGTTTTTATCTCAATCTCTAATAAAAGCAATGATTATATCTATAAATAGGAGAGTCTATGTTCTCAGTAAACAAATAATGCCCTTCCCATTCTATTCTTAGGTATAGTAAGATGCTTACTGCAATGAAAGTGAGAAACAGAATGGTTGAATGGCTACACTTTAGCAACATTGTAAAGTTGAAAAATTACAGATTGAATTTCATAAGTTGAAGACTATACACCTCACAGAGTTTCATAGAATTCACAGAAGCCAGATACTGTAGTCTGTAGTCTTTTAAATTAGGTACAACATTTAACCACTAATGAAATTCTTTCTTTTGATCTCTTGTTGTTTTCTCCCCCCCACATATAGTCATAATCATGTGGGCAGAAAGAGGTATGTTATGACCATGAATAAAAAGCATAGTCCTCAACTTATGAAGTTTAATGTGTAATTTTTTATACCAGGATTCAGAGAGGTTAAATGTGTAAGAAGTAAAAAAGCATCAAGGCTGGGGTGGCCATCCAAACTAGTTCTTACTCTTGGGTTCTTTAATGGTACCCTTTTGGGCTCTTGGGAGAGGATAATAATAACCTCTTTTGCTACATCATAACACTGCATAAACAAATCAAAAGAACTAATGAAGAGAATATTATTTTGAAAGCTGTTGAAGTTGATATAATCATAGGGAACTGTAGTTTACTGAAAATTATGATCAGCAAGGATCTCTGAGTAGAAAAAGAGAACACTAACTTTGGAGTTTGGAAACAATCTTTGTTTTTAGTAACACTAACAGTTTGAAAAAAACTCCTTTACTTTGTACTTCTATATTTTCTTACCCTGTGTCAATGTCCCTCATGTGAATTCAGATTATGAGGCACTTAATAAATTTGTAGGATTGTAAGGCTCATCATTTTTATAATCTAACTCCTTTCTAATGAGAGAAAAGAGTTCTCCAAGTTTTACGAATAACTGAAAGATCTGAAAACATAGATGGAAATTTGAGTTGAGAAAAGTACTCTGCTTAATCTGATATGTCTCTGTTCTTCAAAACTTCAGCCTTGTTTATATGAACTTAATAACTACGGTGATTTTCAGAAATAAAGAGTGATTGACAGAAAAACATGATGAATCACCTCTGGATTTCAACAGTCCTGTGAACTTGAGAAAGTCCAATGAACTTGAGAAAAGCTCTGCTGACATGAGCCAGCTTGATAGGCACTTCCAAAATTGGGGGTGCTCACTGGACATTCTTGTGGCCACCTTCTCCTCTTGGAAGAGGTTACCAGTTCCTAACCTCTTCCATCCTTTCAGGAGGTTCTGGCTGTCAGTGAGGAGCACATTGCCATTAAGAAGGAAACCAAACCTTCCACAGTCCTTCATAGCAGAGATTCTTCAAAGAGGTATTCACCATTGGTTCTTTTGTTCCTCCCTAGCACCACTTCCACTCCTCAGAATTCTTGTTTCCTTTTGGAATGTGTATTGATACTTTTTACTGCTAGCTTTAATTGTAGAAACTTAAGTCACTTGTGTATTGATACTTTTTATTGTTGGCTTTAATTGGGTAAACTAACCAAGTTACATGTTCCCTTTTGTAATGTGTATTGATTCTTTTTATTGGTAGCTTTAATTGTTGAAACTAAGTCTGATGTGTATTGATATTTCTTACTGTTAGCTTTAATTGTGCAAACTAACCATGTCACATGTTTCCTTTTGGAATGTGTATTGATACCTTTTATTGCTAGCTTTAATTGTGTAAGCTAATCAAACCACACGTTTCCTTTTGTAATGTGTATTTATACTTTTTATTGCTAGCTTCAATTGTAGAAACTAAGTCACTTGTGTATTGATACTTATTACTGCTAAATGTAAATGTGTAAACTTCAGGGACTACTATTCATTTCATTTGGGCTATATTTGGGGTCATGGAAGTGCATCACACAGTTATCAATTTTATTGTAAGACATTAAACTGTCCTGCCACCAAACACAGAGTTTATGGTTGAGACACTTTTCACATGGTCTCACAAGGCAGACAAAACAAAACAATTTAGTACTGGTATGTCAATATTGAGAAGAGGAATTTATAGAGATAAAGAATCAGTGACTACAATGATGAAAAGAAAAAGAGCATAGATATCTTTTTGTTTTAATTTTATGTGAAATGTATTGAGGGAGTGATTCTCTGTTGAGTAAACTTAAATCTGTTGTTAAGATCCATGGTCAAGAGATGTTCATTTTTCTTGGAATTTTAGAAATTATCTAATAGAACCACATCATTATAATGGGAAGAGCAGCAGCTCTAATTGACTATAAAGTTCATCATATATGCGTGCTATTGCTCCAAGTAGTAATACACATATGAACACATATGTGTGTATATGCGTGTTTGTGTTTATATATTTTACCTTTATGCTTTATAACATTTGTACAGTATAGGTCTTATTTTCTCTCTTTTACTTATTAGAAAGGTGAGGCTCAAAGAAAATAAATGGTTTATCCAAAGATAGCATTGCAATTGGTGAGTCAAGTTTTAGACCCAGAGTTTCCTTGTTTCAAAGTATGGTTCATCTTCACTATGCTCTATAGTTGCAAATAGACTTTCTGACCCCCTGTTCCATTATCTTTCCATTCAGCTATGGTGGACTTAGATTTTCTAACCTGTAACTGTAATGCAATCAAAATGTTCTTTCTGTGGTCACTACTTTTACTGAACCATTGGAAAATAGGAAGACTATTAGAGAAGTGCAGACATTAAAACCAATGATTATACTTGTATAGGAAAGAAATTATTTCATGGAGGAAAAAAAAAGGCCATTCTCTTCTTACTTTGATGGCTCTTGGAATACTGTCATGTTCCTATAGCTGGCTAGCCTTGATAAGCTTCCTCCAACAATGATATAAGGTCCTTTCATCACTTTCCTTCTATGGATGTGGAGACCCTGAGATTAATGTAATCAGACCATTTGGTTTTGGCTTCAGTCATTTTTGCATGTTCTTCAGGTGACACAGTTAAGCTTACAGAATAAAAGAAGCTGGTAGACAAATGATATTACTTGTAGGTTGGAAGAAGGAACTAAGAAGTTTCCTCTCAAAAACATTTCATTGGTGTATTTGTAATCTTTAATAACATCTCCTCTTTCCTTCTTGGGAGGCTAGATAATAGGCTTATACAATAATAAACTTAATTTAGGGAAAACTAATTAAGTCATGTTTTTCAAACAGTAATTTGGATAGTTATAGGCTATGGAAAATTCAACCTTGATTCTCCAATGTTTATGAATATGACGTTTGGTTGGGACAGAAGATTTTTTTCAGGATATAAAATACCATTCAGATTGAGAATTTTCAAAAGTGGTATATATAATCTTTATTTTCATAGAGTTTCTGCCTTTGCTATAAGGGTGAAGTAGTGTGGAGTGAGGTGGATGGGGAACCTGTTGTCTACTTTTGTGAGTGCAGGCTCTGCCTCTCCTATCTTAATTATGTGCTCTTGGGAAAGCCATGAATCTTTCTCTAAGTCTTTTATCACAGGTATTCAATGTTAGAGTTTTGCTATGTTGTTTTTGGAGGTCATTCTTCTCTAACGTACATCTGGAGTCGTGACAATTAATCCAGATAGTTCAAAATATGTACAGATGGGATTGACAGGCACCCTTGATTCTCGCAGTACAAGCTACTCTTTCTAGATATGGAAACCTTTAAATCTTTATCTGGCTGGTAGGACAGCCTATCTGTTTTCTTTTCTCCTTCTCTCCCACTTATGAAGGGATTCCAAATAGAAACAAGTTTATCTACAAAGTAGTAAGGTCTGCTGCTGCTGCTGATCTCAGTTGTCATATAGGATTATGAAATATTTGACTTTGAGTAGGGTCCTTAGAGTCAGATTTTGCTTTCAGCAGAGGCCAGGGGCATCATGAAAACACATTATACTTTAAAAATAGAAATTATCTGCTCAAATCTGCCACCTTGACATGATCTCAAAGGATAGAAGATAAACTGGTGTGGTACATAAAGTGTACCACAAGCCTGAACAACTGGTTTTCTGTATGTGTGTGTCACCATGTGTATAAAAGTGAGCCGTGTTTCCTGAGTTCAGTCTTAGACACAGCTGAGCAATGCACAGAGCAGACCTGTATAGCCAACTTACAACATCTTCACCATGAAGACAGTCACTGTGCCAGTGCTTCTGACCCTGGCTCTTTGCCTTATACAAGGTGAGCAATTTGCATGCAATCTAAGGCTCTTACCACATATCTCAAAGCCCTGAGGAAGGGACATTCCTCCCCTACACTTGCCAAGAAAAATAAATATATATATATTTCTCTATATAAAATCTTTTCCACACATAGAATTTTGAATATCTATATATGTGGATTTATAACCATATTGTTATCTGGAAATGGCAAGTAGTTGGAGAATTTTTAGCAACTAGTTGTAAATTTTTATCCATGAGAAATCCTTCAATTAATTCTATTTATGTTCTATAAAGGTAATACCTACTTTTGCATGTTCCTCTTACCAAGTGTATTAACTCATACTACATATATATATCAAACTATATTAGAAATTAAAAACGAGTAAAAGATAAATGAACTTAATATTAGATGTATAAATAAAATATTTAAAAACCTAAAGCCATCTAGTTTTGTTTTAAAGCAGTAGTGCTTTCTAAGTTATTTTTATATTTTCAAATTCTTAATGGATTTAAAATATTGCTTCTAAATGGTGAGGGATTTTGTTGGAGCTAGAAGGGTGGTTTTGAATTTACTATTTGACATGAAGGAAAAACAGATTGCCTACATTTTTACCTTTTTCCAAATTATTACATTTTTAAAAAGAAAAACCTTAGAGATAAAGTCAGTAAGATCATTATATAAAAAATGATGCTGACTTCCTAAGATGAGTGTGTAAATACAAGAGAGCAGGGAATGAGAGAATGGTATAGGCTGTGATTTTAAGAAATCCTAACTTTTGCTCTATCTCTAATATTTGTTTCTACAATAAGAAGATAAAGTTGTCAGAACTCAGAAAGTGGAATTTTATGTGTATATGTGAGGTTAATATCATGATATGTTATACTTTTAAATTATATTAAAATTGGTATGTTATATTTGATATAGTATGTTATATTATAATTTATAAAAGGATACTGCCATACTTTAGAAGGTTCTTTTGGAAATTAGATATTTTGGAGATGTCAGAAATTGCAGGAGTACTATTTGCTAAATTGTACAGTTCTGAGAGGTTGGAGCTGTATGAGTATATATACTAATCTGGTAGACTGCCTTCATTTCATTTGCCATGGTAAATCTAAAAGTCCCCAAAACTGTTTGTAGTTTTACCATATATTGCCATTAAATCAATGCAAACACTGCATTGAGTGATTTTTTGGATTTATTTACTGAATATTTTACAGTCCCTTAACTTTGGTTTCTGCATTTTTGTCTCAGATGCTGCCAGTGAGGATGCAAATCAGGTCAGTCCTGCTTTTTCTCATTGAATCCATTCCAAGATCCCTAAAACAAAATGGTTTTTGGCCAACACCTTCGTGTTAATAGTGCAGACATATTACGCTTATAGATACTAATAGCTTTTGTTAAAAACACAGAAACAGACTTTTATGAACAAGCCATGAATTTCTTTGTCCCTCTGTTTCCTCTGTTTCCTCTCTCTCTCTCTCAACATGTTAATGCTGCTGGCTGTCTGAAAGAGGTGCTCTATCATACTTAAGTGCTTTAAAATTCTATAAACGCCAAATAAATCAACCAAAAAACCACTATTGTTCTATTTAGCAGCTGAATAAAACCACAATACACCATACAGGAAGCTCAAATGTTTTCTGCCAATTATTATGCCAAAAGGGTTATCTATATCTAGTATATATAATCAGTGTATATATTTCATCCATTAAATATTTATTGAGATCCTGTTATGTATCTGACCCTATATGAAATCCTGCAGATATTCTATAGCAAACAAACTAGATGAAAACCTTATCCTTCTAAAACTTACATTTTAGTAGAGGAAAAGAGACAAGTTAATATGTAAATTAGTAAAATATATAGTCCTTTAAATACAGATTAGTGTTAGGAGAAAAATAAAGGAGGATTCAGGAGGAATTCTGAGGCATGAAGGTGGTATCTGTCCTCACTGGGATAGTCAGGGCAATCCTGGCTGGAGATAGTGTTATAGAAGGGCCTGAAGGTCAAGTGGAGGGAATGAAAAGATCTTTACAACTTACAGCAGACCAGGAAGAAGCACCCGAAATGGCAGAGGACCTGATGCAGAGGTCTTATTTTTGAGAAATAAATTAATTTCTATGTAAATTAAAATTTACTGTTTTAAAAAAAGTTAAAAGGGCCAATTTCTCCCTCCCTCATGCTGTTATGCATGCTATTAATTTAACATTGAAAATAGTGTTGTGTATATAGATTTCACTGTATTGCTCAAAGACCATGGACAGTTAAATAATATAAAGTTAAGTTAACTCTTCTCAGCACCAAAATTCTTTGAACTATGATTAAAATACTTCCTTGCTGTATTTTATTGTCATTTTTTAAAAAGCAAACACCTTACAGAAACGTGCTAGAGAATTTTACCATAGCCTCTACTACTTCATCTGAGTTGGCTAATTAAAGAGAAGTCCACAAGTATGGTAGAGTAGAGAAAAGGCTGGATTTAAAAAAACCAGAGAGTGTGTTTATTTGGAGGTCTTACACTAGAAAAAAAGGAAGATGTTCAAATCTCACTGAGCATAAAGGAATCACTTTATTTTTCAGTATTTTGGGTACTGCCTGAAACATTTTCATTACCTACTTTTTCACATCATTAAGCTCAATATCACTGAAAATTTTTAGCAATATGGGTTCAGCTACCTCAAATAGACATAAAAGGCAAGGTCACAGAGAAGGAAGTATTTTTCTGGAAGCCTTTCTAATCATGCTCTTCAGATACTGAGCCACAAAATAAAACTATTGATGGTGCTAAATTCAGTAGCTTGGGTTTTTTCCTAGCATCACAAAAGCATGTTAAATGTAATAAATATGAGCCACCCCAGTAAGAAAAAGTAGTATAACAACTTGCAAAAATCTTAAGCATGTGCTTACATTTGTCATCACAGAAGGGCTATTATGCAGTCAAAGCAAACTTGTAGTGCTCTTACACTGATTTGGAGGGTGCCAGGTCCGGGGAGATTTGATGATGAGGTCCCTGAAGGAGAATGGAAGATAACAATTAGGCCACAGCCAGGGAAACAAAGAGCACTGGATTCAAGAAGGATCCAATGTTTCTGTGATGTGCAGAAAATAAGAACAGCAACAATAACAGAATAAAAACATGCCGAGGGCTGGGAGTTATTCTCCAAGTATACAATTGCTGCAGAGACTCTTCCAGATGTCAGAATGGCTGGTTGGTCTGGATCTCCTCCTGCTTGAACCCACCCAGTTGCAGTAATTGGGAGTGCAGTCTGTTTTCCCCAGAGGAAAACGTAACTTGCACTTTCAATTTGCACAGTTTTTCTTTGTGTGTCAAAGAATACTCTGCAAAATTTCCTAACTTAAATAATAGTATTCAGCCTCATCTAAACTAAACACTGTGAGCAAAACTTTAACTTAACTCTCAGTGCCCAATTAAAAAAAAAAGTATATCTGTTTAGGCATTAGGCTCACATTTAATTGTGATGCACTAGAAGTCCAATTCAGAAATTATCCTGGTTGATTTTATTTTTTAATAATTAAACCTTAAAAATTATGTAGAGCTTCATTCCAATATTATCATGGGTCGTTGTTTTACATATTTTCTCTAAGATCAACCTCACAAGAGATATATTTATAATATGAAGATGCAGACTCTTCTCTCATTCCAACATAAGATTTTCAAGACTTTATGGACTCTCTTATACCTGGTAAACCAGGCAGTAACTTGTAAAGTTAGCATAAAATACTACAGCATCAGAGACAGGACACAGATTGCAAGATGCTCAGTTGCTAATCTGTTGCCAGAAATTACTACTGTGCTACTAAGATAGGATCATTGAATGTGATAATAATCTGGGAGATATTTTAAAAGGTCATTCTCAGAAAAATTTCCCAGGCTGTTTTCTAATATTATTTACTCTTCTTTTATTTATCATTCTGTAAATGCTACTAATTTTCTATTATGTTTATGAGGCTTGATTAGGTGCATCATTCTCTGTTTGAAGCATAAAACCTCTTCATTCAAGGATAAATCTGTCTAATTTACTCTTGTATCTGTGGCATCTTGCAAAATACATATATTTCATTAAAATGAGTAAATTATTATAAAGCTATAGGAGGCACAATAGAATCCTATAGTCATCTTTGGGGAGAGGAAATGTTTGCAGGAATTGGAGGAAAAGCTTTATTTATTTTCTAATGAAAATATCTTAAAGTAGGATTTTTTTTCATCAAAAACAGAACAGAATAAAACCTTAGATTCCAAAGGCTGGATCTAAAGGCCTAATGAACTTTATAAACTAATAGAGACTATATAACATTTTAAATCAGCACTTTGCTAGCTATCAAAAATGCGTCATTGAATATAAGTTAGAAAAGAGTAATATATATAGCAGACCTTCAATAAAACACATTCAATGAGTAAAGAACCCTCACTTTGAAAGGCTATTTTTCCTTTATTGCCTTATTAATTTTAATATTCAAAATGGTTTCTACTGTGCCCCCTAAACTGGGTACAGTGTAATTGTTGGCATTTACAAAAAGAAAGTCCAAACCAAGTATAGCACAGAATGTTGCATTGTATATAAAATGGTAGTACCAGAGATTATGCCAAAAGTAAAATGAGAGAAGAGAGAGAGAGAGAGAGAGAGAGAGAGAGAGTTTTGAGACAATAGCACATTACTTCTATAGACTCACCAGCTTTCATTTTAGTGGTCAACAGTGTTGTTAACTTCGATAGTATTAGTTGTTGAAGTGGGAGTGGAAGTACTTTTAAGAAAAGAATAAAAATTTTAAAATAGAAAATGGCTAGGATCTCCCGAGGTTCTGGGAAAAGAAGTGGCAGTGAAGGGCTCTCAAACTTCGGCTTCATTAGCATTAAAGTAGGTCTGCCTGTGCTCATAAGTCAAATGATGCATAAACAATCTGGATATTTTTTCCAGAAAACGAATCAATGCAGAAACTTGTTTTCCAAACATATATAACTAAGGCATTCTTTTTCATGTAAGAACTGTTAACATTTCTAGAGCTAGTATTTTGCAACATATACTTTGGGAAATGTGGGCAGAAGTATCTTAAAGTTTCCAATGCTCACACATTGTCTCGATCCACAACCCTTTCATATTCCACTCACAGAAATGCCTATTGGTCTACAGTGTGCTAGATATTTCATGTGTCATCTTAGACTATTCCTATAATAATAATTATCACCACCACTGACATAATAAGAATAATGAAACAGGAAAATTTACTTATTGAATATCTACTTCATCACTCACAACACGTATTTCTCCCATGATGTGCATATATTTATATCCCCTATTTTAATTTATAAAGTGGAGCTTTTGAAAAATTAAATTCCTAAGGCTACTGGGGTCATAAATCAGAATCTGGGAATATAAAATCAGATATTTTGACTCTATGTTTTCTATTCTTTCCATTTTACTAATTGTACCACATAAATGCTAATTAAGTGAATTGGTAATCTCCAACAGATGACCCAGAGTCATTATTTTTGTTTTTGTTATTTGTATCAACTGTATGAATTGCTTCTGTACAAGACAATATTGGTCATTAAATAATACTGTACAAGGAAATTCTTAAGTCTTTTTTAAGTGGGCTTTTAGTAAATACAGTCTATTTTTTCTTTTTTTTTCAGGAAACATGCAGTGAATTTCAGGCATTGATGAAAAATGGGAAATTGATCTGTCCTCAAGACAGAAAACTTTTCCAAAGCCCTGACAGAATCACATTCATCAACAAATGTGACACATGCAAACAGATACTGTGAGTAAGATTCCTTTTACCTGCTACTCTCTGAACTAGTGATTGCACTATTTTTTTTCTTTCAAATGTGTTTTTCTAAACCTGAATAGCCAGCCATTCTGACATCTTCCACCAGAAAAAATTAGCAAAGTGAGGTCTTAGTAATCTTTCAAATGAGATTCCAAAGTAGCCACAATTAATACCTTATGTAGCAGTCTATAGTCTTTTGAGGATGTAGTTCCATTTTGAACAGTCTGGGAAAAAATAATTTAAGAAAGAATGTCAGATTTCTCAGGCTGAGTTAAGACCTAATTCTGTTGTAGCTGAGGGGCTAAAAAAAATCCCCTTGAGAAGGATGCCAGAATCTCCTTGTGGTGGTCAATCAGTAGAAGGATTTAAGCAGAATGCATACTAATTCTGTGAACTACTAGTGTCTTCAGACTTCTGGGGGTATGGGAGGATGAGATGGACTAAAGGTTGTTTACAGTTTCCATCTTCCTGCAGCTTAGAAAGAATTAGCATCCTAGAAGTTTACTAGGATACTACCCAATGCTTTAACATCTACCCAATGCTTTTTATTTGATTTCCTTCTCCAAAGATAGGAGACTTGAGTTATCAACTGTAAATCCTCAGACCAGAGCGTCATTTGTTTTTGGCCTTTTAAAGATTCTCTGTGAGAGTTTTATTGATATTGTTGTTATTTTTCTGTGATACTACACATTGATGCCAGAGCCTTTTGTATGCTAAGTGAACACTCTTACCACTGAGTTCAATCCTCACCCTCTCTCATTTGTGAACTGGGAATTCATTTTTAATTCTGACCACCATTGAAATTTCAGCCCTTACAGATCCAATACTGAACCTATCAAATTTAGATATGTTATAATTGGCTTTTTAAAATGCCAGGTTGATATTCTTCAAGGGATTTAATTCGACATATCTAATAATATTGTGGTATGAAGTCCTGATAATATGCACTGCTTTCTAGTGATGAGAATGTGGGAATGTGAAGGAAGACAGGCAGGGTTTGGGAGGTTGGGGGCATGTTGACTAATCCTTTCTCATTCTCTTGAAAACTGAGAATAAAACAGCAGGTATATTATTGACTATAAAGTTTCCTTTTCACTGAATAGAAAGCCTTAATATGAGACCAAACTTATGAATATAATAAATTTACTGGAAAATAATGTAAAACAATAAAATACCTTGAGAATCACAAGATGGTTTATCACTTTGGAGGTACTTATTCAATAATTATTTTTAGTGTCTATGTGAAATAATTTGGAATAAATTAATTGTTTTAAGGGAAAGAGTGCAGCATGTAAAAATTATCTCCAAATTACTGTAAGAATGGGTTGATTTGCTCGGTGGGGCAGTAGGGGCTGGAATCAGTACCCATATAGGCAGTTACAGAGATATTTGATTCACTCATTTGTAAATACACTCATTTGAAGATTGTATTCAAGGAGTGGCACAGACAGTTTTTAGAGTTGGTTATCATTAAGCTGTTGGAAATATTTAAGGGAGGTAATAAGTTATGTAGTTAAAAGCTAAGACTATGCCTGCACTAGTCAATATTTGAGGGCTTTTGTTTTCAGCATTGAGTGGTATTTGTGCTATCTTTCCCTTTCAGGACATCTCTCTACTTTTGAATTGGTAGATTAAGCTGAGGAGACCAATGAAGACCAATAAGGACTTTACCATGTAAGGTCTTATTCTGAAAAGTTAGGCAAGCAATGACTAAGTGGTGTGATTCCTCATTTTCTTGCAGGGAAAATGCAGCAAAATCCCAGGAAAGGGCCATGCATTTAGCAAGAGCCAGTAGAGACACTGCCCAAGCAGAGGTAAGACTGAAATGAACATGTCTTGTTTGCTTTTGGGAAGCTGTTTGACTCCATGTAGAGCTGTTTATTTCCTAATTGCTAGGTTGTACCCATTGTGAAGCCATCTACTTAAAAGGGAGGGAACATGGCTTAGTTCAGGGGTGGGCTAAATATCTGGTACATCTTGTCCATTAGCCCAACCCATGACCCAACTTTCTGAAAACATTTTGGGCTCTGACAGATTCTCAGAGGTGGAGTAAGCCACGGACATTTCTCATACCTCCCGCCCTGTCTAGCTCCAGTAAGTGCCTTCCTGGGACAATTAAACTAGATCAAATCTCAGATTTGCTGTTGTCCATGTAACTCAGACAATATGTATCTCTGCATTCTGTCTCTCCCCCCACCCCACCCCGTCTCCCTCTTCATTATGAAATGTGTTATATGTTCATTGAGAAACTAAATTTAAAAAGTCATCCAGTGCTTAACATATGCTAGTAGTCAGTCATTCAACTCATTCTATCTATTCTATCTCCTTTCTTCTCTTGATTCTATATATTTTCTAAAGTCTGTAAGGTTCTTGTACTTCAATTTTAGTTGTTTATTTATACCTGTTCTGCAGATTGAGACTCAGGCTCATATTTTGCTTGAGAAAAGTCTTCAGTGTTTAAAAAAAATGAATAGGAAGGAAAGAAACTGCATTTACTTAGAACACCACAGAATTTTACTTGATAAATCTACTTTTTATACAAATGTTTTATTTATACAAAAATATACAACTAAAATTTAAAATTTCAGCTTGTATTGGTCAAAATTCCTGGCCTAAAATATTGCAAAAGTACTTGAAAAAAATGGGCACAGTCATCAGCTACTGACATCACCTCCAGGTCTCCTATGTGGCATCTTCTCTAATTTCATCTTTCTCTTTCTCCACCGCTGGCCCTGACACATAATTAAAGTGATCAGTCAGGGCAGACACACCCTCATTACTTATAACATGCTTGATCTCACCAAGCTAACATCTGCTTTGGTGGTATTACTTAGGTATGTCCAAGAACGTCAGCCTCCACGCTAAACATAGTTGACTAAGTTCTTGTTTTGGGGTTCAATGAGCCTCACTTTAAAAATAGTAACACAAACACAATTCAGTTGGTCAATATCTGCAAATAATTTATCTGTAACAAAGAGGGGGTAATCTATGGGAGCCAGGAAGAGTTATTTGCAACTTTTAAATGTGAGTTTCTTTGTCACATTCAGAGACAGGGTCACCATGCAAGATCTAGTATCCTCTTCCTCCCATCTCTTAGATAAAAAAAAAAATACTACAATTTCTGTCAAAATTGAATGGATTCATACAATTGCATTACATTTTTACTGGTGGCACCTTTCTCTTCACTATAAAGGAAGAACAATCTACCTACTTTCTCTGCTTAGATTCCTCCCATCAAAAACAACCCAGCTACTCACTCTGGTGCTCTACGTGTTCAGGAATATTCCTTCTCTGACATCCTCTTTCTCTTTCTCTCATTATTTCTTCATTAGTATGTTAGTCTTCCATTTCCTAACTCTATTATTCACTTTATCAAGTCTTGATATTGTCTTCAGAGCATATCCCAAATTGGACTCCTTTTTATCATTTCTATCTCTACCCTAGTCCAGTCATAGCTTCAGCTAATGTCTTTGTTCTACAGGGAAATTTTTGCTTTTTAATTGATGAATTTATTCATTTAATATTTCTCATGATTTAGGTTACCAACGTTGTAGGATATTAAGTTTATTTGAGTTTATATGTGTGTTTATGGGCCCTCCTTTTCAGATTGTTTTTTGGCTTTAATGACTAAGTCCTTTTCCTTAGTTCATGTTACTAAAA